CCCAACCTTTATCATCAGTATAAACAGCCATATTTTGTGGTGTAATAGTAAAATTGAGATTAAGACCACTACCTTGTGGTACTGTTACTCTAGTAAAATTAACTAACTGTATCTTAGGTGTTGGTACACTAGGTGATTTCCACCCAATATAAACTTGTACTACCTGTGATTTAAAAACATACAGAACGTTATAGATCCAATGCTTTCTTAGAACCAAAAGCCCTTATACGATTAAATTTGGTAATAAGAAGAAGATTTTTGAAACAAACCTCTCGTACTGGCAGAACTATGGCTCTCCATTGAGCCAATAATTTGTCCCGACCTTGTGTAGGCCTACTTAAATACCATAGGGACTGGTTGAATCAACTACAACTCATAAAAAATGCAGGAGAGCCGAACCCAGTAAAGTCCAGGGGCCCTCATTAATCAATTGAGCCACTGTGTATACTGCTGAACAGTCATAATAAATGTCATAGTCATAAGAATGGTGATCTTACCTCATCAGCTGTACGAGATCCTACATTGTTAAAATGTACACTGATATTATTGTCATCACCAGCATTAACATTGGTTACCGTTATTAATTCATCATAGTTGAATGTAGAATATGTTAAACCATAACCAAATGGATATAAAGGTTGTGATGACATATATCTATATGTTCTGTCTACCATTGTATAGTTAGTAATAGGTGGTACCTAAAATGTATCAGATATTACAGATAGAAATAAAGTGGTTTTGCTAGGAAATTGAAGACATTAAACAAATATTTGGAAAATCACCCAAAAAATACAGTCCTGCCTTCTTACAGTTTTTATGATTTTGTCAAAGGTACGAGCCGCTCCAAATCTCTGCGAGAGAATCTCATTGTGAAAAGAATTAACAAGAAGACAAACGAATGAAGGACTGGGATTTTTGGAAATTTTCTAAAACCACGAATAATCGTTATTACAAAAAATATGAAGTTGTAAAGTAGAATTTCAAAATTTCTGAATCTTGTTCATCCACAGATTTCACTACATGTGAATATTTCATAAATTAAACCCACCTGATCAGCTGTGTAATACCATGTATATGGTAATCTACCAAACTGTGAATAACTATCACCAACCATCACATTCTTTAAAGCAACACCAGTAGCTTGTCCTGGATAGAAAGCAGCTATAATTGCTGATACTCTTGGATTCATATCAGCCCATGTAATATTGACTGGTCCAGCATTGAATGATATTAAAACAATCTTCGCTGAGCCACCTGTAACATAATCAACAAATAAATTACAGTGTCTAATTTAGAAATTTTGGTGCCAATTTAAAAGTAATTCAAAGTGATTTGATTTAAGCACTTACTGTTTGCCACGGCATCAGCCATCAGCTGAACTTGTCCACTTGGTAACTCCATATCATGTCTATCATTACCTTCAGCTTCCAGAATAGTTCCTGAAAACGTAAATGACATTACTGTAAACAGGTCATGTAATCTTCTTCACCATACTCTGGAGATTTCAGTACAGATCTGAACTATTAGCAATGGATGTTATACAGCAGAGACTGTTTAATCATTCCATAAAATAATGAATAAAGTGTATGATTTGACGGAAACTACTGGGGATTTTTGTAAAAGCGATCTATGCTGAACATGTTCTTACCTAATCCAAGACAAATAAACACAACATCAACACCATCAACAGCAGATTTGACCGAGTTAGAATCATAGCTCTTACATTTAGCATCATCACAACCTTGAGCAAAGTTAGTACTAGAAGCTAATGATGATAAACCCTGTCTTGGTGTTGTTATAAATTGACGATCTGGTGAAGCTTGGTAATCACCATTCATGATGTAAGCACTATCACCGAAAGGTCCAACAACCTAAACGACAATGATATAAAATTAAAAAATCTCAAAAGTTCATTTCATTACAATTCATATGAAATAAGCACTCTGTCATGATCCTTATTTACTTATCTTTCAGGACTTTGAGTTGGTATTAAAAACAATCAAGACAAAATCTTCAACGTGTCAAACAATTACCGCTATTTTGTTGTAGGACGATTTCTGTAGTGGCAGAAATCCATCATTTTTCAACAAAACCATGGATTTCATTGAAGCTTCCACTGCCAGATCTCTATGAGATTTTTCTTCAATAACATCAGTAGTAATTGAGGCGTAGGGATTCATTTCTGGTGGATCAAATTCTCCCAACCTCATTCTAGTATAAAACAATGGTTTCACTCTCTCTCGTACCAAATCTTCTGTGAGTTTACCCTGAGAAACTGCATCATCTGAAATGGATATTCATGGAGTAAAAACTGAATTGGGCTTACAGACTTCTCAGTTCAAGAGCTAGGCGAAGTTTTGTAAGCGACCACTATAGAAAAACCTATAGCACCTAAAACTGCTAACACAGAAGGAAAACCTACAACTACCAACTACCTCACTCATAGTCCTATTGCTGGGAGAAAAATGATAAAAAACGAAAGTGTACAGTGTTTGTAAAAAATTGCAGGATCTGGCAGCCACTCAGTACCTTCAAAACCTTAAACAAGAAATCAACCAATATGAGCTGT